CCACGTTAGTAAAATTGAAGGAAAAATGAAAAAAAGGATATCTTTCTTGGTTAGGTTTATTCAACTTAAAATCATACCATACCTTTCTTAAAATTAGGTTGAAAACTGAATTATGTGGCTAATGTCTTCTTAGGTGAAAAAAAAAAAAAAATCCAGCTGCTTAGGAGAAGCTCTGCTATTTCTGGTACTGTGAATAAGGAGAAATTTTTCTTTTGTCTGTGGGTCTTCATTCTTTCTTATCTTACAGGAAACCCAGTAGTGATTTTCTGGGGCTGCTTATTACAGTACCCTTCAATGTAGGCTAATGACGCAGTGACCAGTGACCACACACTATTCAGTGACACACAAGAGCACGGTAGACTAGTTGGTTCAACATGAGGTCGTGTGCTGTGGACATCGGAGCCCTAGCATCCAGCCAACTGGCTGCCTCGAACTCCTGGCTCAGCTACTTAGTAGTGTTGTAACCCCAGTTTGTACCTCAGTTTCCTCATCTGTAAATGGGGGACTAAGCCCATGGATTCATAGGGCCATTGTTGGGGATCAAATGAGTTAATACATATAAAGCACCTGGTAGGTAAGGAGTGCTTGGTAAATGGTAATTATTACCTGGACCAAGAACGTTAGTCCAGAAGAGCCACTCTTTGATTATCCAAGACAAGTAATAGCAGGAGTGGAGCAGATAAATATGGCATTCCTAAGGCTTGTCAAACCCTCCAGCTGAGCACCACCAGGAATATATCTGTCACTGAATAACTGAGGTTATTACTCTCTTAGGGAGAACACACGCCATGGAGAACCTCGGGGCATCTTAGGAAGAAGGTGTTAGAAAGGTTAGAAAGGACTAATTTGAAAGTATTTGGACTTGTGTTAGGTGATTTTAGGAGGGCTTAAGAAAGTAGGGCTTTGCTTTAATTGGATGTGATCAGGAAGTGGGGTCAATTTTATGATTGGGTGTCTTAAGAAAGCTTTAGATAGAGGAATGTTTGTACATTTTTGTGTTTTGGACAACATTTATGTTTTTGTCTGTGTTCAGACGTGATTGCAGAGTGGTCCTCTTTTTGTCTTAATCCATCGTACCACAGAGTGGCCTTCCTTGATGTTGATGCTTTGTGAAATTTTTGTGTTCAACAGAGGAATATGAAAGCCTGGTTGATTGTACCACACCAGTTGCCTGCTATCAGAGGTTGCTTTTCTCTTTCTCAGACTCCTGTGAGGGCTCTCCAGGAGAAGCAGGTTAAACAGAAAAGGAAGGAGGTCAGTCTGACATCTTCCACACATCTTCAGTGTTTCCTGTATTGAAGGTGTAGATTGAGTATAGGTTCTGTTGTCTCTGGATCTGAAAAACAAAACTGTCATTAAAGAGAACTTTAAGGTTATTTCTTTTTAGTTTTCTCTTAAGCCCATTTTAGAAGACTGTAGACTTTGAGAAATATTGGGACCTTCAGTCGAATAGCCCAATAACTTTTCTTTTAAAAAAAGGGGGGGATAAAAGTAAGCGACTAAAAAAAAATCTAATCTTTAAAGGAAAAAAAGTAATTTTTTTACTTTTTTTTTTTTTTTTTTTTTTAAAAAAAAAGCAATGCCATCCTCATGCATCAAATTCTTCTGGTACAGGCTGGAGTTGCACTAAGCAGAGCCAGCTCATCCCATTGTCCCAGGCAATAGCAATCACCTGGACTCTCTTCCCTACTGAATATGAAGTAAACAGTTTTCAGGCTTCTCATTCACTTAGAGTGACTTCAGTTGCACAAAAACGTCTTGCTCAGACCAGCTCAAGTAAAAGGATTAGTTATTGGAAAGATATACATGGTTCAACAAGGGAGACGGAATCCTTTGGAATCAATAACAGGAGGTATAATGGGACAGGGCTTTGGCTAACTGAAGCTGAAAGACAGCTGGTATAGTTTCTTAATTTTATCTTCCAGATGTCTAACTTAACCTTCAGATGATTTCATTTTATTGTTCAACTCTATTAATGAACGTAGATTTGTTTTGTTTGGTTTGGTTTGGTTTGGTTTGGTTTCGCAGCATCTTATTCTTGGTTGATGGATGCAATATCTTTTTTAATTTCTTTAAAATTTTTACTTATAACTTTTTAATGGTTTTGTCTTTCCTGAATTATTTCTGTTTTGACTTGCCGGTTGCTCAGTTTATTCAATTCCTTCCTTCACTTTTAAGATTGTATAATCTGGTGATCCTCAAGTGATCTAATGAGCCTTTGTTGTTCACTCATATTTTCAAATAAAGAACTGGTCTGGCTAAAAAGACATATTTGGTATATGTGTCCTATTGAATGGGAGAACTGGCTATGTATGGTCCAATTCTTGGGCAGGACATACTTGTCAGGTCAGCTTCCCTGCGGGGTGCAATGGGGAGAGGCCGGCAGTGTTGTCAACATAAGAAGGGTTCCTCTGAGAGCTGATGTTTAGTGCATCTTATTCAGTCGTTGGTAGAGCTGCCTTGCTTTTTCTCTCCTACTCCAGATTCAAAGATCCCCTCAAATCCAAATCCACCCTGCCCAAGGGTGCTCTAATTCTCTTTATACCTTTACTAAGAGTTTCAGCCCCTCCCTTCTCCCGTATTTCTTTAAACAACAGCTGTTCTTTAAAGATTTTTGCTTAAAATCATTGATGACTCTAAGGAAGCAGAGATGATCTCCAACTCTTTCTACTGTTCTGAATATAATTATTGAATAAATACTTTGAGCAGGACTGCACTTGGCGCTTTTTGGTATGACTTCAGCTTCTTGGGGACTTTCACAGAAAGAACTATGCTCACTTCTGCTTTCTTAGGCTGTTTTCTTCTGCTTGGTTTCTCCACTGGCCCAATCTTACCTGTATTCACTCTTTCTGAAATTCCTAAAAATTCCTGGTCTACTCTTTAATGCGATCTAGCATTGTTTTTTTTGTTTTGTTTTGTTTTGGATTTTTCCTTTTTTTGCATACTTTTTAGTTTTAAAAATCATTTCTATCATTTGTAGGCGAAGTTTTCACTTCTAGTTCACAAATCTGAATCAGAAAACTGACAGATTTCTTTACTATTATGATATATGTGGATTAAATAGGAACTGAAACTACAACAATTTTATACATAATAGTGAAGAAAAAATAACTTTATTACATTAGCAATAATGGTAATAATTACTCTTCCTGAAAAAAAAAAAAAGAGTAAATGTCAATGGTAATTATCAATCTTCAGACACATCAGCCAGTAAGGAAGAGAAATCCAAAGTGCAGGTGAAGGATCTGGAGTTTGGCTGCCTTCTTCAAACTGCCTTCTTCAAGCCTTGACTCTACCTCTTAAGTGGTGTGACAGTTGGCAAATTACATATTCTCCTTGAACCATGATTTCTCATCTACAAAATAAGAATAATGATAGTATCTCTGTGTCTATCATAAAGATGAAATTGATTGATATTTCAAAAGTGGTTAGAAAAATTCATGGAATATAGCAAAACTCAGTAAACATTTGTTGAATGAATAAATAAAGATGTGAGTGGGGGTTGAATAAATAACACCCCCAAATGGAAATGTGTTATTCTTCAGTTGGTATTGTAGCTGTATTATGTTTCCCCAAATCCATATGTTAAAGTCCTAACCTCTAGTACCTCAGAATACAATGGGATTTCAAGATAAGGTTTTTAAAGAGGTGATCAAATTTAAATGCAGCCATTAAGATGGGCCCTTAGCCAATTTGACAGCTGTCCTTATAAAAATAGGAAATTTGGGCACATAGAGAGACAGACACCAGGGATGCATGTGCACAGAGGAAAGGCCATGTGAGGACATAGCAAAAAGGTGGCCATCTGCAAGCCAAGGAGAGAGGCCTCAGGAAAAACCAAACACTCTAACATCTTGACCTTGGATTTTCTGTGATCTAGGACAGTGAGAAAATAAATGTCTATTGTTTACACCACCAAGTCTGTGGTATTTTGTTATGGCAGCCCTAGCAAACTAAATGCTTTAAGCATATGATCTATGTCAACTTGAGTGAGTTTCTTTAACTCTCTGAGCCTCAATTTCCTCATTCACAAAATGAGGATATTAATAGGACATAACTCATAGATTTTGAGGATGAAATCAGATTATCATTATCACAGAGACTGCCTCATAGAAAGAGCTAAATGTGTTAGCTATTATTATTTCTGTAATTTTAATAATGATCATTATTATTGTTATTAGTGTCTCC